CAATACCCTTTGGGGCTGTCAATTTCCCATTTGTAATACAAAATGACTGAAAAACGGCAAACTTCGCAAGGCTATATTATCCGCATTTTACAACATTTCGCAACGAAACTTTGGAATATTACTAATTTTGTGATGCTCTTTCAAGCTGTGATGAAAGTTTTGTCTATAGACTTGTTTAGATCAAAATTTAGTCTATAATGCAAATGGTCCATTGGGGCAGGCATTTGACAGGACGTCTAGGTAGCACCAGTGAACTGTAAATAACCTGGAACGATAACTCAAGTAAACATGCCCATACTTGCCCGAAGCCAAGATGGCGGCCAGTAATGCGTGTTTTTTGCGTGGGTTTGTCACGAAGTGTCGGTCGGCAGAGAACGCATGGTAATGGCGCGATTTTATTTTATATTGAAAGACCGACAAATTTGGGGTTTTTTATTTCAATTATATAAGATATTTGCATTCTTTTGACAGCAATTATAATACGAAATATATTTCTTGGTAATAAGATACAATCAATCGTGTATTAAAGTTATTTTACAAGGATATCAAGCGGCATCGTTTAAATATTGGTGACTTCAATAAAAAAAGTCGAACGTTCCAACAGCGACGAATTGCTTCAGTTTCAATTATATTTGTGGACTCCAGTCGACGAATAATTGATTACAAGATAAGTATTGAATTATTTTTACTTTTTTCATGATAACTATTGGTTTTTAAACAAGATCAACTTGTTTAAACGAGGCCTGTCATGTACTGGGTATTCCATTCTCAATTCTGCACAACAGACTCGCTGCAGTGCTTGCCGTACTGTGAAGTGTAAAACAGTAAAGGAATCGCTCGTGACTCATGAAGAAAACGTGATAGAATTAGTTTATAAAAAGTAAATATCTGCTTTTAATAAAACTAACTAGTTAAGTAAGTGGTACATCTTAATTATAGTATTTTCTCACGATTTCAATGACATAATTTTCGACCAGATGACAAAACTTTCACACATATTTATGACTATTTTATATCACACCGATTTTATGATGAACTCTTCTTGCAGTCTGTCAATAAATTGTGCCATGTTCCCTATCTTCTTACATCTTTGCAATTGCTGCTGTAAGTTTTTAATTTTATGTTTTAATTGTTTTTTAGAAATTTCTTGATCTTGAAGTGAATTATTGATTGCCTGCAGTGGTGTCTGTTGTATTAGTTTTTGCCGTTTTCCATAGCAGTGATTATGATATCACACAATAGGAAGGTATAGCAGAAGTGTATCTTGAGTTGGTGCCTTTGATGTTTTTGTCTACTGAAATTTTAACTTGCTCACACCAATCCACGCCATCCTGGCTAAAACAGCCGGTAAAGTACAAAGTACCAGTTGTACTTGCCAGGATGGCAAATGATGGCGTAATATTGGTGTCAGCTGTGTTGTCAGGCTTATCGCTCATGTGCATTGAAAAACACGGACAGATTTTTGCTTGAGTTACACTTCTGCTATTAATACCTTCCTGTATTATGTGATGATATTGTTGTTGACAATAGCAGGGTTGGTAAGTTAGATGAATAATTAGGCCAAATCATCACTGGTGCACTATTAGAACACAAAGGCCTAGTGTGACGGTGTTTGGCCTAGTTATTCAGCAAACCTACCAACCCTGGACAATAGTTGCTCATGTGACATAATTGGATGTTTATGGCCTTGATGGGTTGAACTTCCTTCAGGCATTTTCTGTTGGCTTCTAGCCTCTTTTGGTATGCTTTGCAGTTTGAATTCCAATTTGAATACTGATGGTACAGCATTTTTTTTTGCCTGCACGACCCTGTTGAGGATGGTGTAGTCAGGGGTGGATGTATAGGGGGGTGCACAAGGGTGTGACCCCTGTTGACCAAGGTCAACAGGGGTGCAAAAAAATCAAATTTGTACCCATTGTCATGAATATGTACCCATTGTCATAGTAGTGTTTACTATTGAAATGTAAATAAATTGAATATTAATAAATATTTTAAAGTTTCAATTGTTTTGTAATTTCTTACCTGTGGAATGCAGTATATGTTTTGCTTTCATTTTCCTGACGCAAGTTTTGTTTTCATAAACGACACAAGTAACTGGCATTTATTATTCTAGTCAATAACAAACTAATTTTGCAGTTTAAACTTTTTTTCCAACTTTGTTTATTACAAAAATGTTAAAAAATAACAAATTACTTGCGCTCTGCCAGCCAGATATGGACTGGGGCGATATGAAAAACACTCATTTTCCCCCGAAGATTTTTTACATGTTTAATCTGATTTTAACTTTAAAACAGTAAGTTTCTGGATGCTCGGAAATGAATTTCTAACAGTATCTAAGCTTTTCTCAAATAACTGACGCCAAAATGTCTCCGAACCCTTTCTGGAAAGTCTACTAACACAGAAAAACTAAAAATTTTCGCGCGGTTTTCTCGTGTTGTTCGTCTTGTACGTGTGATATTTCTGTTGTTTGGTAACCATTTTTTATTTTAAGCACATTTATTTAAAGTTCTTTTGTCTTAGTTTAATATAAGGAGGAGTTGGCAAGTGCTTAACAAAAAGAAAAGGGCAAAATTTATCGATTTTCAAAAAAAATTTTTGACGCCATTTTGTAAAAAAGGACTGGGGCAACCTGCAAACTCATCACTCATGAGTGGCTTCAAAGATGGCGGCGGAGTTATCGTTCCAGGTTATTTACAGTTCACTGGTGGGCATAGCCTGGAGAACATCCTCGGTCCCAGGGCCTCACGGCTGACACTGCGTTGCCGGAGGCCCTGGCGAAAACCAAAACGAGAAGTGATTTGATTGGTCGCATGAAAACAATGGAATGCGGAAATTGAACACGAACTTTTACTAATAAATATGGCTGACTATAGGAGTTGATAGGAGTGTATTAACTGTTCAAAGAAGACGGAGAGTCGTTTTGGTCGTTGAAATCTGCTGTCTATCAATGGAAATTTTATTTTTAATATAAAAAATGTTGGATGTTGTGTCACAATGTATTAAAAAGCTGCACAAAATTGGACATTGGATTATTTAAAGATTGAAATCGCCGAAGCCGAAGGGACATTTTATAGTTTTATATACGAGATTTAATTATATACAGAGTATAAACAAAGACAGGCGAAAGGCTATGCGAGAAAGACTGTACCGTTAATTGTACAAATCTACAAGAATTGTGAGTGATGTCTTGAATCTTTCAATTACAAATGAGAAAATCCTGATCGTGAATGAGTGTCTGTGTAGTTGTTCAATGCAAGGGGGGTCCATGCCATACATAATATATTAAATATTGTATATTATAAAATATAAATTATTTTATAATATACTATATTTAATAGACATACTTTATTGATTTTATATCAATTTCATCAAAGGCTCTTAATTTATGTAAAAATATTGTATTTTATATTAAATGTATTTAATAATGACAAATTGTATTTTAATACTATTTAATAATGACAAAGCGATTAATATAATGGCTGGAAATGTTAGTTCTTCCACCTTGTTTTGCCTTAAATTTCATGCAATATATAGCTTAATTTATAGGCTATCAATGTTTTTTTACAGTTGACAAATTATATTTTTAATACTGCAACTTTGCTACACTGGTGATGAGCCTCCTAATTTTATGCTGTATACTAACTTCTGAATTTCTTACATGCAGTTGACATAATTTTTATAAATTATAGTGCTAGATTTCAAGGTTTAATTAGTCACCATAGGCACAGGAGGAAAGTTTTGAAATTTAAAATTGAGGAGCACTTCATGTCAACGGCACCAAATTTATAATTTGTAAACTTTTGAAGAGAAATTGGGCAAGGCAAAGGCAGTGCAAGGATCAGGTATGGGGGAGTGGGGGGGGGGCTGTAGCTCCCCTATGTGGAAATTCTAGCCCCTCCCCAATCAGGGAAGTGGAATGTACTGGGAAAAATTATATTTTGTAATGACCCTGTTTTGTAGTGCTGGTAAATGCACTGTTACAGACAATAAATTCTGCACCATTTCATGAGAGCCAAAAAATTCAACATTTTCATGTATGAGCATAAGTTGAACATACAAAACAATAATTTTACTGTTTGAAAGATTATAGCCCCCTGTTGGAAACCTGATATTGCTTGTCGGGGAACCTGATATTCCTTGTCGGGGACTTGATATTCCTTGTAGGGGAACTCCTGGAGCATCCGGCCTCCACACACAAGCACACTGGCACCCACACACCTCCATTTCCTACACCACTGCAATATTAAAGCACAGCATGGATGCACCATAAAGCTGTTATTTATTTTTTACAGTATCTTTATTAACACACCAAATTTTCATAGAGGAAATTGTAAGAATAAATCATTATTTATATCAATGACACAAAATTGTTTATTTTGTTCATGTAATTTCTTTCTTTCTCTGAGTTGATGAAAAATGCAACTTCTTTCTCTGAGTTGATGAAGAAACAAACTTCCCAACATACCAATCCTTTCATAGCAAGGCCTGAAATCCTTCCTAAAGTAGTAGTACAATGTTTATAAATTAAAACAATCTTTAGCCAAAAATTTTAGGCCAATCATAATTTAACAGCAACATGGATAATTTTATGATTGAAAATGGCTGGCAAGAAAATACATATTTCAAGTCATATATATGTATTAAACTGAATATGATACTAGCTTGTAGTATGCAGTCACACATGATACCTTACAGGTAGTTGTATATCCTACAAACAATCGTTATCTGGGGATACCAAGATTAAGGTGGGGGGAAGGGCGAGGGTGGGTGGGTGGGATGCACATAATATTTCAGGTTTTTATGCTCATTGTCTCTGTCTAAATGCCACATTTTACATGTGCCAAATCTAATGTGAATTTACATAGTTTGACTCAAATAATAAAGTTTGACTCAAATTATAAAGTTTGACATTTTGATTTAAATGTTGAATTTATGTACATACCGGTACGTAGTAAACATATGTAACTTATACATTTGTCCAAAGTGGCAAAGTAATTACTTTGCAGTTATACCCACTCTCCCCTTGATGAGCAAAATTGTCTGACATTAGACAGTAAGATAGTAAAGTACAATAGATAATCTGATTAACCCATTGAGCAGTAGCACTTTCACATTGACCAGTACAATCAATCATCTGGCATGTTAAGCTAAGTAAAATAATTTGGTGGCACTTAAAAGGTTGAACAAACTTTTCTAGACTTGGCACATGTAAAATGCAGCGTTTAGACCGGACGTATTAAACAGAATATATGTTGTCTGTATGTGTACAGTCTTGCAGATAACCATTAATATAGCAAAGAAAGAATATTGAGAAACAACCAAATATATCAGTATCACACTCACCAGATTGTGCTTCGTCCACAACAATCGCTTTTAAATTGTCTGTATATTTCGTCGATTATAATAAAAATTCAAAAACTTTCATGTTCTCCAATTGATTGCTGTCCGTATACAATGATTCTCCCAAACTACACATTGTATCCTTCGATTCATCAACTTGAACAGCTTTCATAATTGAAACATTTACATGATCCTTTAGTTTACTGATTTGGTCAATCATTAAAACAATTAATGGTGAAATAACCAGATCAAATTAATGTTTATCTTGCATGTAAAACACTATTTCTTTCGAGAAATTCTCAAAGTTCACTCCTTGCAAAAAAAAGATGCAGAGTCAGCATTTTATTACGTTTACTTCCGGCAAACTACAAGATTTTTGAAGTTCCGGTTTTGGTTTTCGCCAGGGCCTCCGGCAACGCAGTGTCAGCCGTGAGGCCCTGGGACCGAGGATGAAAGATACTGGGAAAAGTTGGTAAGGATACCAAAAGTCAAGTTGCTTCACTTGCTTGTATAATATACAAAGACTTATACTCAGTCTTTGTTTTCCTCATGACTTTAATATATCTAAAGATATATCTTAATTTTAGACGATATATGCGAACTATTTTTATTTTTGGCATCGGAGTGTTATTAATAATACAACAAGATGAATCTTCAATTGTCCAATTTTATAGGATGCTTTCCTGTATCAACGGCTATTGGTGATATAGCTAGTGGCAAATCGACGGCGCTGCACGTTATCAGCAAAATGATGGGTATGCACATGGTCTCGCAGTCCTCGGGAGAATTTGTTGCCTCCGATCTTTCCAAGAGAACCATTCCATTGAGCTGGGACGATCCCACGCATCCAAGCCTCTTGCGTCAACCATTTGTCTCTGCCTTCAATGGGCTCGGGAGTCAGACAAAATTACGAGGAAATGAAATACCACTCACTTCGTTCCTATTGACAATCAATTTCAAGATGGATGACGACATGAGGTAAAATAATATATGACATGTTGCTATAAAGAACTGATAGACAGAAAATTTCATTAGAAAACTCTTACAATTGAGCGACCCCAGTTAGCTGTAAATAGCTAAATACTTTGGACACTAAAACAAAGTTATTCATCCATCCATTCATTCGTTTATCCATCCATTCATTCATACCAAACAACGTTTCTTAGCAAACACATGCCAGTTTGAACAATTGGTGTCCATAATTGTTATATCAACAATCTAAATTTACTCAACCATATTCATAGATCCTTTGAGCGGACGACTCCAATATGGTTTAACAAGTTGGTACCAGCGGACTCCAATATGGTTTAACAAGTTGGACGGTCAACGTGTGATGTTTGAGATGGCCACAACAAACTGTGTTTTAGACATAATACGCTTTTCTGTAAGCATAAATGACGCGAGCCTTTCGGAGCACACAAACTTCTTCAAACGCAAGCTTGCAGGTCTTTCGCCTCGTCTTCCTGATATTTACTCTATCTACAGGCTCTTTGCCTTTGAGGTACGCAACAATGGCTGTTATTAATTAAATTAATACTGTTTGTTAATATATCCGAGGTTTTCTCCTTATATGTCTTCTCCTAATAAAATTATAGGTTAATAAAAATGTTATTTTTTAAATTTGAACAGCCGATTCACACGTAGCCTGAATTTCAGACGTCCATTGTTAATATGTCCAATCCACATGTTGCTGCCTCTAAACTTTCAGGAAATCGATTTTTTAAGGATTGTTTCTAACTTTTTTTTTTTATTGTTAACTTCCACAACGTTTACGTACCCTGACACCTGTGGTAGATTATATATGCTCACCTCTGCACAGGATAGTGATCCAAATCTTGTGAGATGAGATCATGAGAGGGCATAACATTTAATTCTAAAACGACCGAGGAACATAACCAGAGATCTTTTATACAAATATGACGTATTTATGGGCTGCCGTGAGAGGGCCACGAGTTTCATGAGCCTTCCAAATGTAGCCTAATTGTCTAAAAACCTTCGCTTATAGATTGTGAAACTTGTGGACGACAGCAGCATCGTCAGTACAATGGAAGTTGACAACTACCTCAACACAGATTTTCTGCCCTTCATACGGTCAATGTATGCTGAGAGTGCCAAAGCGCTCACCTCATTTGAAGAATTCTTCAATTTGCTTCTTCAAGCAATTATAAAATGTGGCTATAAAAAGGACAAGGTACATACAATTTTAATTTATTTTGGTAATGTAGAAATAAAAACGAGAAAATATTGTTTCGTTACCTTTCGTACCCAGAGCCAAAGAATAATTATCGGGAGATGTTGACCAATCACGAACGAGAATATGGTTTAAATATTATAATAATTAACAATTATTGGAATTATCAAGGTAGAGGTAAGCAGCCTAGCCGAAGCTGATAACGCTCAACGAGACCGTGATAATTTTGCATATCATGACAAAAACCGAATTCAATTATTGTTCTGGTATTATACATTTGTTTGTGTTAAATAGATACCGCTTTCTAATCATCGCAGGCTCATTTGCAGCTAACTCAGTTATCTGCAGATAAATTAATTTTCTGTAGGTTGCGTGATTTAACTGCAAGCTCTTAGCCAATCAAATTGCTTTTACCAACTACAATGTATAATAATAACATTTATATGCTCTTTGCCTTTAGTTGTCAAAGTGGATTAAACCTGTGGTGCATGGCAGGAAGGAGAAAATAGACTACCTCATGTTGATCATCCAAAACACTACCTCCACCATAGAGAACGCAGGCTTTCAAAGAATTAGCGATAAGAACATTCGCGATTTGGCAAAGGGGATGCAACATGCAAATGTAAACCACAAGGCCAGTTTTGCTGGTATGACCGGAAAGGTGTCCTGTGTGAAGGTTGCTAGGCACATTCTTCCATTCTTCTTGACGAACTTGATGAAAGTAAGTTTTGATAAAGACCTTCATACCCATTTTATTTGTTCATTGAGTTTTTCATGACAAAAAATTACCTTGCTAGGTATCACTTTTTTAGACACATTTCAATGGTTAACCCTAGCTCATAACACATGGAAACGTTCTTATATTGGCGTACAATCGGACAAATTATTGGACACTTGAATACATATGTACAAAATAATGTCTCAACGACGAGAAATGTGAAAATTGTTTTCACAAATTAAAACATCTCATAGTACTGCTTACTAAATTGATTTTTAATCTTTTCTTTTCACTATAGCCTATATATTAGGGTAAACGTTTAAGAACTCAATGTCATATTTACTGCACATCTTTTCTAGTATTTGGATTGGTTGATAAAGATGATACGGAAGACGTCGATGATGATGATGAACGAGTAAGCCTTGACCAAACACATGAATGTTTGAGGTGTGCTGATCTCCAAGAAGAAATCAGAATTACGGATGAAAAAGTAGAGGCCAAGGCAAAAGAAACTGAAGATGTCCATGAGCAACAAATTTTGGAAATCAAAAGGAGACACGAAGAAGAGCTTGAAAGTTTTTAAAGAGAGAAAACGCAGCTCTATCTAGAAGAATTTTGCAATTACAAAATGACGCGAGAGAAATGAGGAGACAAATTGACTTCCTTTCTGGCGTCGTGCGCGAGGCAGAAAAGAGAACGGCTGTACCAAGACAAACAGATAAGCCAACAAAGCCGAGTGATGGAACATCTGTGACAAAATCTGTTGCCAGGTTAATCGGTGAGTTTATCATAAACATTTTTTTTTTAATTGTAATTACAATGTGCGCCCAATTAGTACTGTATGTGAGTGGTATTTCATTTCCTCGCAATTTTGTCTGACTCCCGAGCCCATTGAAGGCAGAGACTAATGGTTGACGCAAGAGGCTTGGATGCGTGGGATCGTCCCAGCTCAATGGAATGGTTCTCTTGGAAAGATCGGAGGCAACAAATTCTCCCGAGGACTGCGAGACCATGTGCATACCCATCATTTTGCTGATAACGTGCAGCGCCGTTATAACACATCTTGTTTATTTGCTTGTGATAGAATCTGCAGTCGACAATGAAGGAAAACAGTTAGATCTTAACGACTCAGGTGGGTTCAAATTTTCACACAAAATCACTATTTATATAATTATATAGTAAAACGAGATGAACCAGATCTCGATTCTGTGTTCAGAGTGCGCATGGCGAAAGCTCGCCTAATAATATATAATTGGAAGAAAAAGCATGGTGAATGGAGTTTGGCAAAAAGTGCATTACTGAAGCTAAATCTCAATGAAACTTTTCTGTCAATGGAATAATAAGTGTTAAAATTTTAGCATTGCGAAATGTTGCAGATTCGCCGAATTCGGAATTATCAAATAGTATGGCTTATGCCTATGGGTAAAGTCAGATAACATTATTCATCCATAAAGACCGTTTTATTTTTCTGTCTACTAATAACATACAATTTCATTTTTTAGGTTTAGGACATGAACTGGACGATGAAAATACTTCAAGGGGTAAGAAAGAACATCTGTTTTTGTGATCAACATGACTTGTATTTCATAAAAATTATACCTGCGTTCTACCTTGGTTAAACAATGGTATTGAACGCTCTGAATCAAAAGGAGTAAAGCCAATCCATATAAAGTACCTTTATATGTTACACAATACACACTATATTATTTTTGTAATCGTGTTTTCATATACTAGGTCTTTATATGATATAAGCTGGTCTTAAGGGCGAAAAATTTAACACACGATCTTTGTTAATTGAGCCGTGCATTTTTGGACTTGTCTAATGTAAACTCTATGGCTATGCATTGTACTTATATCTTAATGATTAAAAAAGCAAAACACAATAGTAACAGCAAATTAAATTTATCTAAAAATAGTGATTCATTTGTGAATTTGAAATGTCATATCAAATTTCTCATGGACATGGGATTTGACATATTATGTAATTTACGTGTTTCTATATATAGCTTGTACATCGTCAGCTCCCAAAAAGAGGTCTTCAGACACTCCACATCTCAACCACAATGTATGTAACGTTTGCAATAAAAAGACAAGAAAAAGAAGTATGGTTAGGGCCTGCAAATGTCATCAGTGGCAACACTGTTCGTGTGCTGGCGTGCCGTACCAAAAAGCAATAGCCATGCAAGGATCATTTTGTTGCAAAGACTGTAGATAATTGTAGTTTCAAATTTAATTTCAAAAATATTTTGTCATAGATATTTACTTGCACACAATGGGAATAGAAATAAGCACTCTATATTAATTACAATTATATATTAATATATATATATATATATTAATATATATTAATATATATATTAATATATATTAATATATCTATATATATTAATATATTAATATATATAGATATATTAATATATATAGATATATTAATATATATAGATATATTAATATATATATATATATATATATATATATATATTAATATATATATATATTAATATATATATATATATATATATATATATATATATATATTAATATATAAATGACAGTTGGCGAAACAACTCATTGGCGAAACGACCGGTTACCCTATGACTTCCCTGATTTTGATTTTGGAAGTACCGGTACTTTACATAACTTGTGGCATTTTTCTGTGTACTTGTTGCGATACTTTACCAAACGATGGAGAAAGAAAAACTGGTGCAAATGAGGCATAGCACAAACAATCTTTTTATAGCGACTAGCACATACAAAGGTTTGCTCGCAAGCCATTGTGTTGTAGTGTTCTGGGATCTTGTCATCGGCGTTGTATAATCGCTTACACTTCGGGTCCACATGATTTCTTAGGTGCAACCTATCAATCACCTTGGAAACCAGTTTCCACGCTTTATCAAGTGGTGAAGGGAAAGGTAAATCGTGTTTTGCCACCTATCAGACTATCGACGTGGCACATGTTATCATAAGCAAGACAAGTTGATAATATAGCTTCTCTGACTTGCTCTTCGTTTTTTCCATCATCCAGAAGCTTCTGTACAGCCACAAAATTAATACTGTGTAAGCTTGTGTGGGCGATTCTGACGTGAACAAATAGACATTTATACTTTATACATTATAGTACAGAATACAACAGTAGTCCAGTTTTAAGACTGTGAAAAAAGCACGAATAAGTTACGAACCTTGTTTCAGTGTATCACTATGTATTACATTTTAGTATTGTGATGTGATTTCATGAGGGTTTTATTACTATTATTTATTAACATAGCAGCACACGACGTTTGGCCTCGCATCAGTAAATTACACAAGGTAAATTACACAACACAATTCATGAGAGCGAGGCTCCCAGGCCAAATGACCTAATTATCGAAAGGGTGTATTTGATTGAGGGCATATAATCATTATTCATTGGTGAATAAAAGTAATATCCATCACTCAGTACTGTTGCCAGAAAACAGTTACATATTCCATACTTTCATGCAATACATCTTCGTCCAATGAGGTGCAATAATACATGAACTTTGACGGTTGGGATATATTGCAAACTGATGATTGTGACCTTCGAATGTAAGCCCACCCTGAGTACAAGTCCCCTACCGGTATAAGCCCACCATATTAACTAACATTCAGGCCATTCCATTCAGATTGATATTGTAATAAAGCCTTGTGTTGTGCTCCTGTCCTGGGCATGGGGATGTTTACAAAGAGTAGCCATAGCAGCCGATGGGTGATGAAGTATTAACATTACAATCCGGGGATGCAGGTATTCCGGGATTGTAACCCCAGGGATGGCTGATGGTAGGTGCATGATACCGTATGTAACAAATAGTGGTCTAACTTATTTTGTTATAAGCATTTCAATAACTGAAGTAGAAATTCCACAGTCCTTTGAAGGTAGTTTGAAATTACATTTTCATGTTTACAAATCAGGGTTTAATTTCCAGTACCTTTCATTTGGCATTTTGGCCTTATTCTAAAAATTGTCACCATGACTTTCACAGCAAAATTGAAAAATTCAAAATTATATGCAAAAATTCTTCCTTCCCTCAGACCTATAAGCATGTCACATATTACCTGTACAAAAGTTGCCAGTATTCTATATGTCCACCAGCACTTACAATAAAAAACATCCCCCGCGACCAACACTGCAAGCTTTTAAGACCTCCTGTGTCTTTGTTGCACAATATCTCGCTGTCTAGAGTGCTATCCTGTACAAAACCGGGGTTTTCAAGCAGAAAATCACTGGTACCTGAAAGAGTTAATTGAAATTGAAGATAACTGTCATGGTATCATGGAAATATTGCTAAAATATTATAAATAAACTTTATGTTAAAACTGACATACTGTATGTCAAGAGTTACACAGTTGAATTGAATTCATACACAGTCAATTAGACATGTGAATGGTGAAACCTACCCTGAAAAGTGGATGCATTGCATACATTCTCATCACTTGAGGTTTTTTTTCTACACTCCTCCAAACATTTGTCAATCTGTTCTACAGAGTCAAAGGAGTCTATATAATGTACACAAGTGCTGGTATAATAAATAATAAAAAAATTAATGCAGTTCATAATCATACATGCAATTAGCCAATCTGAAGTTGACGAGAGGACTGGGGACGAGTGTTAAGAAGTGCCCAAATTAAGAAATTAGTAAGTATAAAAATTTTGAATACGTTTAATGAATACCCTTCGAATAATAAGCTTTCAAAAATTGTGAAATTACTGATTAAAAGATTGTTTTTGGGACGCGCATCCTAAAAGCGAAAATTACAATACATCTCATAGTAAAGATCGCAATTTCGAAAGAATATTCGCACGAAGGAACTTCTTCAAACTTGGTATACTTACTCATTTTGAGGTGGTCTTTTTAGTGATTTGGTCCATTTCTTAATTTGGGCACTTTTTAACACTCTTCCCATGCATTAAGTCTCATATGTGTTCATGTAACTACCAGCAGTTGAGAACTGTGACAAATGTTCTAAGGCTATAATTCTGATATTCCTAAATTGTCATTGTATACAATTTAGCACGTTGTTTGGAAGTCCACTTATGTCATTCTCACGCTTTCAAATCAGAATGTATTGACATGTTTTGAAGAACTACAAAATAAAGTAAAAACATATAAATCAACTCTAATATCTGTGGCATTTTTGATAAAATATTATATCACAAAAATTCAAATTACACAACATGCTAAACTATGTAAATAATATTTATCTTTGTATATGGCTAAAAATATTGATTGTGCTTGGCAGAGTCAAAACTGTGACCCACGCCTTCATGATAATAGGAGTGTTAAGATCCTTAGTATCGTATTTACCTTGTTCTATGCCTTCTTTGGAAATGCCACAACTCTTCAGAAAAGGTCTCAATTCTGTTGGGTAGCCTTGTACTGTTGCCTCTTTGCAATGGGCTTCACAAAAGGCATGGCCACATCGTGGAGATAGTGGACAAATCTGAGGATAATTTATTTCCCCAAACTCGGGTAACTTGATGGGAACCTTCCACATACAATGTGCGTATCTCAGTTTCCAATTGCCATCAGCAACAAACAAATTTCCACACCCTGAAAATAGTAATTATTAGCAATTAACACATCAAATGGTAGCAGTCTCCCCTTGACAAGTTCATTTCGTCTGGTGTTAAACAGATTAAATAATAAATTAGGGTGCTGCCTCAGAGCAAATTGCTATTTAAATGGTTAAGTTGCATACATTCTAATTGCAGGGCAATAAGATACCTTGTAAAAGCTTGTTTTTAATTACTGTAATAGATCAAGTGGTGAGCCATAAATGAAAAAAGACGTATAATATAGATTCCTGAGGAACCTCACATTTAATTAAAACACTGTTTACAGCTACTCTATGAAGAGCTTGTAAAACCGGTTGGCCATTGTGTATACTTTGCATGTTTTTCATTTATATATAGCACCCACAGGATAACAAACTATAGAATGTTTCAATTATACAGTTTGATTACCATGTTTACAGAGTTACCATAGGTATACTCTGTTACTGTTAATTTTACCTTTGCTCTTGCAGTTGGCATAGCATACATGTGAATACAAACTATCACAACAATTTGAATCAATGTATTCCATGGCATGATCATTTGAACCACTTAATCCACCCATCTTCTGGTCTGCAAATTCCCATTTTTCACGCAAACCAATTTCCTGTAGCTCTTTCTCCACTTCTCGATACCAAAAACTTTTTGCAACAGCTTTGGCTGAAAGCTTTCCAGGTAACACACTCAAATTGCCTGAACAAAATATTATTTTAAATGAGCAATGGATGCACCAAATGGACTTGTTGCACGAACCCCATTATAATGGGCAAGACTCTTCAATTGTTGCCAATTTTACAAAGTAAAATAATAAAGTTGGGTGCATTGCAACTTAGGCTCAGGTCAAACATTGCTTTTTTATGCGTCAAACTTAATAGCTGTTTAAAGTGCTACACAAGAGGCGAGCAATGCTTGATTCAACAGAAAGGATTAGATATGAAGCGACAGGTCTTGTCACACTATGCAACTCTTAAAGGCACAGTTCAGCCTTTTTGAATGATGGTTTTTAAGGTGCATTTCAGTCCTTTTAATTGAAAAAACTAACTAGGAAAATCAATTAAGCATAATTCAAGATCAGTAAACTTCATGATTTTAACATTTTAAAACATTTTTATTGTTAAAAACATTGAGTTTGCTGATCTTGAATTATTTATAAATGATTTTCCTAGTTAGTTTTTTCAATCAAAATGGCTGAAATGCACCTTAAAAACCATCATTCAAAAGGCTGAACTGTGCCTCTAAGTGACAGCAATTTAAACAAACGTCACTCTTTTCATTCATGGAACGCAATGCATCAATTATTTTAATCTATGTTATATGTAATTTATTTTCACATATTTTATATATTAATGATTTTCATTGAGAGCAACACATTCCATTCAACATTTGATTTGAAACCACTACAAGTATGTTGCTCTAGTGTTATGTCAAAATTCCTGGGCCTTAATGGGCTAAAGCATTGTATCTGTATGTTGTTGTTCAGTTTTGGATGAGTTAGTTCAAATATACATCTAACAATACTTTGGTTATGATATATAAATAACTGGTACATTACCATTATTTTCATTACTGCACAGCTGCTCCTCCGTTTCACAAACTGTTGGAAGACCTAACGACAGCAATCACTTCTATTATTATTTTAAAATATCATTACCTAACCAACTGATTTTGCAACACAAAAAAAGTATAATTTTCTGCTAACACACTGCTGAGGGCCCAATTAATATAATGGGGAGGCATGTGTTGGACAAGCACATTTTGTTGTTGCATCCACGATTGCTTGACATGTTCCTGCCTGACCACCTTAGCATGTTGTTGGGTACATAGTAGTTCAAATATGCATGTTTCTTTTAAAACTTGGCATAGGCATCGAAAGATCGATAAGTGGGGGGGACCATATTCATATATTCGTATTCACAGACCTTAAAAACAATTGATTTCAAAAGAAATATGGTCCCCCCCCCCACTTATTGATCTTTCGATGCCTATGAAACTTGGTATCATCAGCTTGTTGTGCATTTTAGATCAATATTGTAATTGTTAATTACATAATTATTGTATTATGTAAAATTTAGCTGTGTTGGCTAATAATTGTCAAGCTTGCGGCGGACGGTTGCACAAGTGAGAATTCTTAATTTTTGGTGCTGCCTTAAACTTACATAAAGAGCGACTCTATTATATTTCTCACAATTGATTAGACTGTAATTAATAGACTGCTTCACACAATTGACATCAGCTAGAGACACACAATAAGCATAAAAATCACATGCTTTTGTATTAATGATTAATTCCACCAAAATCAAAATAGTTTAAAATTGATCTGTTTAAGGTCATAATCAATATCCTACAATGTATCTTCTATATGTTGCAGTGATGCTAACATACCATGTGTGACTTCACAAAACTTTTGAATGTTTTCTGCATTTACATCATTGTATGCCTCAGAAAAGCCACTAAAGGACACCCAACAGTGATTGCTAAAAGAAAAAATGCAACTTTTCATTTAAAAGCTTTAAATCAGTTTTGTCAAAATCCAAAAATGAGGGAGACTGAGACTATCCTCATAAAGTGAATTTTGTCTTTCATGATGCTCTGTTGATATTTTGATGTGATTATTCTATATCTTGAAGTAGATTTGTAGTTCTGATGTGTTTATCAAATGCTACAGATTTACAATTGTTTTGTTGTTTTTGCATTTATGTAGTTAGTTTTCACATTTATCTAGTTAGTTTTCCTTTTATGAAGTTAGCTTCGGCTTTATCACAGAATAGGAAGGTACAACAGAAGTGTAACTTGAGTCGGTTCCTTTATTTTTTACGCCCACAAAAATTTTGACTCGCTTATGCCATCCTGGCTAGTACAACCGGAAGTTTTTATCACGTTTTAGTACGTACAAAGTGCTGGTTGTACTAGCCAGGATGGCGTGATTGATAACAAATCACTTGTAAAAACACGGACAAATACTTGCTTGAGTTACACTTCTGGGGCCGGTTCAAAAGTTGATTAGCAATAACCCTAGGTTAACTTAAAATTCAAAGGAAACTTCCTAACAGCTTGTTTATAAAATTGGAAATATTTCTTCACAAACCATGTCTGGATCAATAGAAATTTTCTTTTCTGACACTTTGAAATAAACAGACATGCAGAAATATGCAAACTAAAACAGACTAAACAGTGGGATTCTGTGGCATTATGTTAGTTTTGGACTCAAAGCATTATGCCCCCCCCCCAACCGAGATTTCCACCAAGTGCTGAAGATTCATTTGAAAAAAGCTAAGAGCAATGTACTTTAATTTAACTCTTTGCGGGCAGGTTTAATAATATGGTAAGACCTTTTGTAGGATTAGCCTAAATATTCAGCACCACATATAGGGTGGGGCCATTTTCTTTTATTTTTTCTGTCTGGGCATTTTGTCTAATCCCCCGTGGCTTCCAGTGACAAGTGCATTTGAAATTGCCTCTTTTTATTTGATTTAATACATAATAATAATTGATTAACTACAATAAAACAATCCATATTTTTTACCTAAGAGATGGTATCCATCCATCCAGTTCCAAGCCCATATACGTGACATTGCTGACTTCGATCACATCGATGGCAGACTCTTGTGGATAAAAACAACTTCCCAAATCGTTACCACGAGTAAACTTGGCAATTCCATAACGAGCTGAGCAGTCTCTGCACTCAAGGATTACTTTGGAGCAAGGAACTGGACCTTTCAATGTAAATAAAGTTGCTTTCGATGGCCTGTTGTGCATTGTTAAAAGCTTATCGCAGCCCAAACAGTTCGTAACAGGAGGCGTCAAAAACTTGTTAAAATATATGCCTTCGTCTTGTGTTAGGCTCCATATACTTTGATGACCTGGCGATGTTACAAAATCTGGGCAATATAACTCTAAAAACTGACACAACAACTCAATTTGTTGGTCTTTCAAAGTCGAAGCGATTCCATGATTGGATGCCAAAGCACGAAATATCTTGCACACAAATATAAACCGCATGGATTTGCCATTCTCATTTCGAGTGATGTTTTCAGGAACATGTCGTAATGCTTCTTTTAAAATAACTATTCCTTGGACGCCAGCTTGAAATGATGCCAATGTTAATGCTTCTTCTTCGGTTAACTTTACTTTTTCCATCAAGATGCATTGAAGGTCGACGTCGTGAAGTGCTTTCATGTGCTCTCGAATATTGTCAATATTCGACTCATTTGACTTAACGGTAGCAAGTATTCGATCTAAATCGAACATCTCTGAAGGTTTCCTCTTTTTGTCGTTTACTCGACATTACAGCGCAGATAAAAGCAGATATAAGTTACGATATTCTTTGAATAGTTCGCGAAATAACCAGATATAAACTGCTAACTGCAGAACACGTTTAGTCACACATAACCTGCGATCAGGCCATATACCAGAAAGCAGGCTTTGAGATAGTACGATGGTACAATAGTATGACAAACGGATTATTAAAAATGTATGCTATGTTACGATGTAACGCTATCGCTATGTTACGATGTAACGCGTACCAGTGTATTTTTTTTCAATCCTTTGTCCTATTTTAGGCATCTCATGTGGATACGGCTGCACACCGTGTACTGTGGGCTTTAAATAATGTGGTATCAATACCCGCCTGTACCAGAACCAATTTTAGCCATCGACTTATAGTGTCCACTGTGACTGGCTTAAATGGCTTAACATAACTTAACAACAACTGTTTATGCTCACCTCGATATGCAACAGTTCTGTTCATGTATTTGTTTAATGTTGAAACCAACACAAATGTTGGGATTGTGTGGGAATGCCTTTAATTCTATACGTGGTGGCGTATATCCAGGTCTTGACTGTTTTATATGGTCTTTTATAGTAAACACGTAAGAAGTGTCATCTTTGACCATATAGTCAATATTTAACAATTGAATAGATTGATGCCTCTGAGCCGATACTAGTGCAATTATAGCATAGTCAACTTCAGCGTTAAATCTTTCAAGGTGATATCTGTTACGGGGACCAATGTCTTTAAATGATGTAGCACATCTTGGACATCCCACATATTGTGATATCGAGGTGTCGCTGGCCGCAGCTGAAAAACACCTTTCAAAAATCGTCTAACTGTAGGGTGAGCACCCAATGGATAATTGTCTATTGGTGCAACGAAACATGAAAGTGCAGATCTTGCTGTGTTCATAGTACTGTAACCTGCACCATTTTCATATAACTGGACAAAAAAGTCAAGCACTACTCCTATAGGAGGTCAAATGAAATCAATCTGCCTCTTACCACAGTATGTCTTCCATCTGTTAATGTAGCTTTGGTATAGGTTTCCAGAACTGGGTCTCCAGGAGCTGACAATAATACTTGTTGCTGCAGCAAGAAGCGTCAGATCGCTGTGCAGAGGAGGATGAACCCTGTGTACGTCCCATGGTAGCTGCAGTGTTGTTTTGCTCTTCGGTATGATCCAAGGAGTCTCTGTTAACAGCTGCATCAGTTTGGAAAACCAGGGTTGTGTTGGCCAATTCGACACCACTATTATTCCTTCTGCTTGATCCCATTCCACTTTCTGTAGACATTGTGCAACTAGACTGAATGGTGGAAATGCATAAAAGAAAAATTTAGACAAGTCAATGCTAAATGCGTCAATATGTGTAGCCTCTGGATCAGGTCGCCATGATGCAAGCATGAGACCTGCCTATTCAAGCGCGAGGCAAACAAATCAATGTTGGGGGAACCAAACTTTCCCACTAATTGTTTGAATATATCTGGTCTAAGCATCCACTCAGTGTTGTCATTGAAATGCCTTGATTCTTTGTCGGCATCTACATTTGTAGACCCTGGGATATGTGTTGCAGTAAGGTGCACCCCATGCTCAATGCACCAATTCCAAACTTCCTTTGCAAGGCTTGTTGACCTGGGTGGACTTTGTCCCCCCCATGGAATTTACATAAGCAACAGCTGTTGTATTATCCATAAAGGCTTGTACATGCTTGTGTTGCAAATTTCTATAGAATGATTTTAAACCCATGAACAAAGCTTTAAGTTCTAAACTATTAATGTGTTCTTGGGATTCGAGGCTAGTCCATCGCCCCCCAATTGCAGTTTTATTTACTACCGCACCCCATCCCATCTTAGATGCATCTGTGTGGATGGTGATATCAGCCTTGGGTCTTTCAATATTATCAACCCACCACTGTAGGTCTTCTACGCATTCATTATTAATGGAAACTAGTGCCTCAAAGTTTCCTTTGCTTGATTTAAGCGCTTCAGATTTTAACATTTCTAATGACCAATAATGTAATGGACCATATTGCACTCCAGGAAAACTAGACACCAAAATGCCTATTAAGTGAGCTAGCTCTCTGATTGTAAGCTTTGGGTGCTTTAAGGTATGTAAACACAATTTTAAATTAACTGTTTTCTCTGGTGTCAATGTAACTCGCATTTTAATGGGAGTCCATGACAAACCCCAAAAAGGTAAGCTTTTGTACAGGTTCATAGACAGATTTATCTGGATGGATAATAAACCCTGCCACATTCAACAATTCGTCAGTTTGCAAAACATTATCTTTACATTCTTGCCTAGTGTCACCTTGGAGATAAGAGTCATCAATGTAGCTTGCATTAAGATGGCCCAGCTGTCTAAGCATAGCATATATTGGTTTTACAATCTTGGTAAACACCCGTAGGCCAGAAGCTAGTCCATTAGGCAAGCATGTAAACTGGTAAAGTGTGCCTTTCCAGTAAAATGTTAGGTATTTTTTTGTAGTTTACGTCAATAGGCACAGAATAATAAGCATCTCAGAGGTCAATCGATGCCATATGGCACCCTGGTCTCATTAGAGCAACAGCCAACTGTAGGGTTTCCATTTTAAAATGGTGATATTCAACATTGGTGTTCAACTCTTTGAGGTTTAATATCAGTCTATGGCTGCCATCTTTCTTGGCACAAATGAAAATTGGGGAAATGAATTCCCCTTGACAGTGCTGTGTAACTTCAATTACTCCCTTGCACATAAGTTTATCAATTTCACTGTCTATGATGCATTGTTCTTTATCATTAAATTTTGTTTCAGGATTGCGAGACCAATTATGGCCACAGATCGCCTCAGGCTTGAATTCAATTTTATAGCCTGCTATTGTTTCAAGTATGAATTTATCAGATGTCAATTTTTCCCAAAAGTGAATAAATTGTTTCAGTCTACCCCCTATTTTTATACTATGACAAAATGTTCGACTTACCTTTTCGGCAGTAGATGAACTCAGCTTGCAAATTTTTTGAACTTGCCTCGTTGATGCCTCTTGTTGTGGAAGGGTAGTGACGCACTCTCTACCTGTCTTTCGCCTAAAAAAGGCCTAGGTCGTATGTTACGATTTCGTCCCTGATAACTGTAAGCCGGGGCTCTGGCCATTTTCCGACCGACTTTATTGACCTCTGTAAGGTCCTTGACCTGCTTGGAGAGATCATCCCCAAACAACTGGGAAGACGAAGGCAATGAGGCCGAGCACAAATGCTTGTAATCTTTGTGAAGGTCCGGTTTTATCAACTCCTTTCGATGAATATTAAGCTCAGAATTCGCATGAGCACACAAAGCAATAGCATCAGTCATGCTTTCAACAATCTCCTTCCCCGCGGGCAAGGTGGTCACATGTGCCAGCGCTGTGTCAGTGGTGCGAACAATTGCCGCTATGCCTTTGATCAAAGCTGTTTGTACCTTTTGAAATCGAAGGTCTTGTGACCTAGTATTTGGTTGTAAATTATCCCAAATAAGCTGATTTACCCTCATTTTGGACAATGCCTCACAGTTTTCTGGGCTTGGATACTTGTTTAGTTTACCTTGGAATTTTTCTTCTGATAAACCTTTCTGCACAAGTCCGTTCACTATTTCAGCAAGGTCATTGTTCAGTGTTGTAACGAGTGACCTACAGGTCGAGTCACGAGTCGAGTCATTTCAGTTTTTGATCGAGTCGAGTCAGTGGCTTCACTCGAGTCGAGTCAGCGGCTTCACTCGAGTCAAGTCGAGTCACTGATTTAAGTCGAGTCGAGTCAATTTCTAGACTTTACTTGAGCTACCCTAGCTTGCTGTCGGAAATCAGTAATCAAATTTGCGTTTTAAACTAATTACTTTAGTCATTTAAATTAATAACGGTATCTGGGCAGCTATAGGCTGTGCCAATATCACAGTTCCAGTCAACCACGTGAGATGTCTCATCATACCTGCTGATCGAGTGTACATACATACAACTAGCAAAACTTGCAACTGGAGTCAGAATTAACAAAGAATAGACTTTAATTAACAACGCTTTGTAAGTTGATTTGAAATTATATAGCCCTTCATAAATACCAAAAATGAAAATAGCCTGTCAGAATTAGTATAAGTACAAAACATTTTG